CAGATAAATTTGAGTTTTAAATTTGCCTTGGTGTTATTTGAAAATAGTCCATTGAAATTGTAAGAGGTTTCATTAACAAGTCACAAAAATTAAACAACAAACATAGTAGATCCTGCACATACTACACTGACAAATGACAAACGTTTATTACACTCAGGTTTATCATGTCCAGATGGTAAGCTGATTTTCCGAGATAATTAAATATTTTTTCTTCAAAATCTTTTGAATGCCTTTCATCAACTTACTCAAACAAATGACCTCTTTGATAAACATACATTACTTTTTCTTAACTAGAGGTATTTTAAAAATGAATTTGACGCTTTCAATTGACATTGGGAACTTATTCATTGTTTAGCTTTGAATTGCATTTCAAATCACATAACAAGATATACTAAGCCAAACCGAAAGTCATATTTACATGAAAAGAAATAATGGACTTTTCATTTGAAGTATATAAAACACAGTTATTTAGAAGGCCTTTCCGTCTACCTTAAACCAAGGACAAACTCATTGAACTCCTTTACTATTGCAGTTGCGACAATTAACTCACAATTGAAGTCAAAAATCCATCTACGGATCATCGAAAATAAGTGTTCCTCATGTTTCTGTATTCAGCAAAAGTAATTAATAAATAAATGTAAATTAAAACATTTTTACAATGTAGGTCGTTGTTGATGCTTAATTGTACTTTTTCCTTATTAACGATATGTCATTTAAATCAAAACATTTTGAAAATGTACATGTACTTCATAACACCATCATAAAATTTAGCTAATCATTTTTCAGCAAATACGATCTTCTTGGTCAATTCCTAGGCATCAAAACTTAAAGCGGTGATAAACAGCCGATAAACAGCATGAAACCGGTAATATTTCTAAATTAATCTGTAAAAATACAGTTTCGTGTGATGAAAGCATATATTGGGCGGTAATATTTTACAAATTATGGATCTAAAAAGTTATCGGTCATACATAATTTAATTGACATGTATTCCTAAGACGTCCTGTCAAGCACTTAAAGCATAGCGTGCAATTAATTTTTTTCAGTTACTGGTTTAAGTTTTCAATTATTAATGTAAACAGAAGGGTGGCACATGTGATTTAAATTACACATTGCAATAATTCATATGCATGATAATGATGCAGGGGATTTCTTAATTCTATAGCATTAAGTTTTAAAACAAATCAATGGATAAGATATCCTCCTTTACGGTTGATTAGTCCACTGTGGTGTATAGAATCAAAATGTTTTACACCTACGTCACAAGTTTCACTAAATAGTACCTGAATTAAAATATAAATTTTAACATATATTAACTGCTAGTACCGATTGATACATGTACATAACTACTCCGATTTTGTTACAATATAACAATATGAGGTAATAATAATAATAATAATAATAATAATAATAATAATAATAATAATAATAATGATAATAAAATAATAATAATTATAATAATAATAATAATAAAACCACCGCCAGATTAATATTAGTTGTCCGATTTATTTGTTTTACCATTACACTACATTTTAAGAAATTACAATGTTAATTCATGTCTTAAAATACCGGTCATATTAATGTAAAATCGATTACCAACGGAGTGTTTTCAAACCATCGCAGGTGAACAATTTGAAATTATTCTGCAACTATAACATCTGTTTTTTGAAATCAAAGTTGCGCCAATCTCTTTATTTGTGAATGACGTTAAAGTCATTATATAACGACTGTATTGGGCGAAAATAATCAAATTTTTGACGTTTTCTTGTCAAACAACAGCAGTGTCATGAAGACAGGGTCGTCTGTGAAAATAGAAGAAACAGAATCCATAATAAACGCCCAAATTGAATATGTTACAGGTTCGGTTTGATTGAGCTTGTTCTTGGACGGTGCAAGTTTTCCACGCCCCTTGTACAGGCTTAATTTTTTCATACGATGTCAGCTTTAAACCTTTGGCAGAGGGCTGTTATTAAATTCTGTGTAAATCTCGGAATGACGCCAATAGCAACTAAAGAAAATATAGAATAGGCTTCAGGAAAGAAAAATGTTTGTCGATCTTTGGTTTACAAATGCCACAACATATTTCGAGACGGACGGGAATCTATCAATGATAACTTGAGATGCGGTTGACGGATAGTTAAACGTACAGTCACCAACGTATTGGTAAGGCTTGTGAAAGAACTAATGGACAAAGACAGAAGAATGACGATTCGGAGGTAAGTGAAGAGACAAATAATTTGTATTGATATATACGGATTAATACACCAATTAAATGAACAGTCATGTTGAACACAGTCGTCAGTTCTTACTAGAAGGCCAGTGGTTTCTCGATAGGATTATAAAAACAGGGTCTGGTTCTGTGCCATGCTATCAATGCAAGCTATTATTCAAAGTTAAGCGTTTTATCTCCTCGAACACAATAGTTAAAATATACAGAACGGATTCGGCATTTCGGTCTAACTTACGCTAAATAACTAAACATGTAAACAAATAGTAATTTAATGCTAGGTGTTAAAGACCATATTGATACTAATATATCGAATAAAAGCCCAACTATATTAATTAAATTTACAGATATAATAGTAAACAATACATTATTTATACATTTATAATTATGGTTATAAAAACCGAAAGTACAAATTGTACCCGTTGATATATTCGGATTTAGTTATAATTTCACATCAGTGAGCATTTTCCGTTTATGACTTTATAAATGATGATTATAAAATAATAAATGTTGTGTTTTGCTACTCATTATGTGTCTGTGACGAGTATTTCCTTTAGGTCTAAATATTTCCTTTAGGTCTAAATAAAAAATTGTGTGTGGTTAAGGAGCGCCGACCCTACGATTTTTTTTTGAATTTCGGCCATTTTTAATATGGCTACTTCCCAACCTGGAAGAAAAAATCCCGTCGAGCTGAAAAATCACTTTGTTAAAAAAGATAACAACTTGTTATGACTTAATTTCCTTTAAAAAGATCGCATTTTTATTCCAATCGTCAATATTTTAACACAGACTTGATTTCCTTTTCGGGATAGTACCCCGGATGGCCCGCTATAATGCGGGCCCAGAATCTGCCATCAACTGATTTTTTTCGATCTTTTTTATTATTATTAGAATCGTAAAAAAACGTTTGATTTTTCTCTCGAACTCATTACAAAATTTGCTTTTTTATATGACCAGTAGGCTCTATTTATGACTAATAACGATGTGATATTGGTAACTTTTGCGGTCAATGACAAATTTGAAAGTCTTGTTTTACAATGCCTTATGCAATTGCTGAAAAAAACCCTAAAAATAATTCAAAAGGTCTTCGATTTATAAAAATACAACCAACAACAACTGAAATTTGAATGTTTCTGCAGAAGACAGTCAAATGTTAATTTCTCATATAATATCGCGATGCCGCTTTTTATAATTAAAAATAAAGGAAGCTTAAATGCATAGTTTGAATTAAATTGCTTTAGATATTATTTATTTTAGTTTAGAAGGAGATATTTGTCAGTTTGTGTTACCCACATATTCAATAATTATATTCTTAAAGGGAAGAGGATGTGTGAAGTGAATCATGAAGAAAACAGCAAAATGGTCTGATAATGTATGGTTTTAGAATTTCCTCTTCAAATATTTTCTGTCTCTTCCTTTTAGTACAGCGTTCTAATTTTTATCAAATGCATAACTTCCTGATGTAAATTAAGAAAAATAATAGACGTTGGATTATTTTCTTCAATAAAAAGGAAAACAATGCTTATTATGCTTAATAATAATGGAGACTTCAAACTATGATTATTAAACTTCCGTGTATTATTAACTAACATGAGCACACAGTGCTCAATGGTTAGATATTGTGGCCAGTCGCTGTCTGTTGTACCTTGTCTGCATGTAGGATGAATCACTTGCATCTAAAACATAGGAAAAGAAAGAAAAGCCTACCTACGTACCCTCCTACCTAGCCAATTCTTCACCCATGTTACCTGAACCACGCATATATTTGTTTGACCTTAAAGGCCCGTTATACCTCAGGTATGCTACCAATTTTATTTCTAAAAAACTTTCCATTTTTGGTATTTTGTTACAGTTTCAAAGAACTACTCATTTGCCATATACATGGTCTATTTTTTGCAAATATAGCTCTGTTGGCAATTGGTAAAATTATAGATAATTAGTACTTTGTATGGAAGTCAAAGTACTACTTTGTTAACAATTGTTACCTTTATGATACATTGCTACACATTCATCGCTGCTTTCTTCAGTTGTTAAAGATATACTATGCTCAGATTTGATATAAGAAAATATTGATAATTGTTACAAGGATGAGCATATTATGTCTTTAAACATCTAACATGCTCTAAATTAATTATTCAAACACTGTTGAACCCCTGTTTGTCATTTTTAGCTCGACTATTCGATAAGAATAAGTAGAGCTATTGTAGTCACCCGAGCGTCGGCGTCAGTGTCGGCGTCGGCGTCTGTGTCGGCGTAACCACTTATGTTAAAGTTTTTGAAATAGTTCAAATATTTTCAAAGTCCATTGACATATGGCTTTGAAACTTTTCACACTTGTTCACCATCATTACCCCAACCTGTAAACAGGAGGAGGTAACTGTATCAAGCATTTTGACAGAATTATGCCCCTTTTTCGACTTAGAATTTACGTTAAATTTTTGTAATAGTTCAAATATTTTCAAAGTCCATTGACATATGGCTTTGAAACTTTGCACACTTGTTCACCATTATTACCCCAACCTGTAAACAGGAGGAGGTAATTGTATCAAGCATTTTTTTACTATCAAGCACTAAGAATATTCGAGCGTTGCTGTCCTACCGACAGCTCTTGTTTAAGAATAAATTTGATTTCTGAGGCATAATGTGTCTTTAAACAACACTCTTTTAAAATAGAACGTATTAGCATACCACTTACGAGAGAAACTTTTTTACATTTCCATGTCCAATCACACTTAATCTCATTATGCATAACAATGTAAGTAGAATGCTATTAGAAACAGAACCGAGTAATAATTGTAAGAGTTATCACGTTGCAAAAACATTTGTTTCAGATGTTAAAAATTGTGATTAAGTTTTTAAAAACATTTAAATTTATGGAATATTGAGTGTATTTAAGTTTTCTTATTCTGTCTTAGGATATTAAAATCAAAATGTTCTTTTTGTACATTGTTATTTTGTTTGTTACCACCCCAATTGTTAAAGGTGAAGGGGATACAGTTTGTGACTGCCAGGAAGTCGGACTATTAAAGGAAATAGTGCAACAAGTTCTGATAGAGCAACGAATGGAGTCTGCTAGACTTAGTAGGGTAGAGGCGAAACTGAGAGCATGTGAAGCAACTAAGCCGATTCCAAATGGTATATCTAACTCTTATTTGATAAATCGTATATCATATGCCTAATAAGATGCTTCGTAGTTATTAAAATTTTTCGTCAAATAAGTTATTAACTATGCATTGAACTCCTCATTTAAAAAAATGCTTGTCTTTATTCAGAATTTGTCTAAACAACAAACAATTCCTTAAAGTAAAAACGAAAACTCATTTAAATTTGTGTTATGTATATTACTACTATTTCAACTCTAATTTTTGTATGTTTTATTTCTGCGTCATCGTGTGTATAAGCAAAAGCATTATCTTTTTATTGTAGCTCGTTTGGCAAAGTTAGAAGAAAACATGAGAGATATAAATGTGAAATTTAATGAAACAGTTACCGGGACTAAGGGCAAACACACTCCTAAGGGATTCCGCATGGACATTGGTGCAGTTATGAAAAAGACATTAATGTCAGAGAAACATGAAACGAGAAAAATAGTGACAGACATGAATGAAAAAATTAAGGAACATACGGACATGATTGAAACATTTCAAGTTGCAATTAACAATACAATAGACAAACGCTTTCAATATATTAATGCTAAACAAATCAAACGCACGAATAAAATAAAGGACTTCATGGATGATATACAAAATGACACTGCAAATTCCATCAGGACAGTATTTAACAATATCTTAACATTTAAAAAGGAACTTATAATGGAAGTAAATGAACGGTTAGATAGCATAAAAGAAGTGAATGAAAGCGTTCAATGGATTTCATCAGATATAATGGCAGTAAATCAAAGTGTAGTGGAGACCAGAGACATGTTGGATATACTGGGTGAAATAGTGAAAGAAAACAAAGGTAAACCTTAAAACGTTATCAGATTATTTTCTCGAAATCTCACAATCATAACACTTAATATATAAAAAGGATATTTTCCGTTATAATGTATCATCAAGCGGATCATAATAAAATTGCCATGACTTCAACGTTGATAAAAACAAGATGACACCACTCTAATTTGCATCAAAACATTCAGTTTAGTTAACAAAATGGTTTCTCTTTACAGCACTGTCGGTTTGCATTTTTATAAATCGGAAAAACTGACGCTTTTGGTTGTTATACTCGTATTTTATTACAGTATATATTATTGTTCTAAAAAATGATGTTTTTCTTGAAGTTCGATTGGTAAACGGATCGAGTCAATATGAAGGGAGACTTGAAGTATGGTATGATGGGTCTTGGGGAACAGTATGCGATGATGGGTTTGATGTGATGTCAGCAACGGTCGTTTGTAGGATGCTACATTATGAACAGTAAGTAATAAACAATTAAATGCCCTTTTGTCACTTTATGCAAAAAATAACACTTTCAAATGTGTTTGTTTTAAGCAAATCTAATTAAGAGGTTTACGATTGAAAATTAAAATAAATGAACAAAATTAATGATCTGTTTGATTCTGAAAAGAAATATATATTTTCTATGTCACACACGTATAAATGTCAAAGAATATTAATCAATGTTTGGTATGATTAACTCAAAATGAAACATTTATTATATTTCTTTGTTTGTTTGATAAGAACGTCGGGAATCTAAGCCGTGCCTGTATCCATCATTTAGTAAACATACGCTGTCATCTTGAAAAGCAGCATGTATGGTGATGAATAGTATTGTTTTCTATCCAGGATGACAACTATATATTTTATCGTTAAATTTTGATTTATATAAAACGAAAATAAAGGCTGTAAAATAGAAGTTATACCGATCTGAAAGTTTGAGTCGGACAAGAATTTGCGAAAGCTTGCCAGAAGATTTTGATTAAAAGTATTTTTCATTTACGAAGTATTCAAATGTTTCGTTCAATACCTGAATTTGTTTTTCAAAATATCAATTCACAACTAAATTCAAAGTGCCATTAAAATCAAACAAATTGTTTTTTTTTACGAATACACAATGAATTTTACAAAATAATATTACAAAATGATATCTGATGAAAACAATGTATGGGATGATACAGCTGATTGTTTACGGGAGAACTTTGACAGAGTTTATTAAACACTATATACAAATTTAACAAAATGTGTTTGACATATTATAGTAATAAAAAATTTTGAATTACAACTGTAAGTAAAGTGAATTAAACTAAATGCCATCTAGGCATTTTGTTATATTATAATATCGGAGGACTTTGGTGGATGAATTATTCGTGATGTTCTAGGCAAACAACAACGGCACGGCCTGCTAAACAAATATCATACACACTTAAATATGATATTTAGGGCTGCGTTTGCTGCAAGAATTATTCATTGTGTTTTACTATGCAATGAGTTCTACATGTAAGATGAAAAAAATGGGACATGTTTGCCTCTTTATTTGGAGGTGATCTTGAAATCTGTTAAATAAAATTTCACGAATACATTCATATACTAGTCAATAAATGAAGATTTTATAAATTTTAGTTTGCTTTAGAGAAAGTGGCGTTGACCTTACTTTACAGTGCAGGTTTATGTATGCAAAAGAAGTAAGAAAAAGGTTCAATGGATCTTTTGCTTGTCAAAAATAACCTTGTGCAAGTCCATATATTACCAAATGATATATGTTGAAAGCGTGACACCCGTAAGAATAAAATGTTAAAAAATATTGTGTGTCCACTAGTTCCTCCCTGTTTAACAATGCCGTATTCCCGACGAAGATTTTAACTTTCGTTAATTGACACCTTTAGATTTGTGACAATAAAAGGCATAATGTAAAACATTCCATATGAATCTTTACGTATAAAGCTGTTGTTTGTACAGGCAATCTTTGACTCCATTGCTTTGATGTAAAATATACGTAAGTTAGAATTCTTTTACATATTGGTTTACGTAAAATGCCTGTGTGCAAAGCATTGATGTTTCAAAGAAAATAATCTAAATGTTTTTCTTGTAAAATATTGAAGTGGAAGCTCGATGTTCTATATATCATTATTTTAATTTGTTTATTTTTTAGTGAAAAAAATCTTAACTGTTTGTACCTTTTGAAACAAAGCCCCTAGAGCTATCAAGTATAAAGAAGAAATCAATATTAAGTTGCTGTGAATGTTTTTCATGTCCTTTTAATTGAGTAATTAACATTAAAACATTGATATAAAATGTATATATTGTATATAGATTGAGTATGACGTTTTTTCTTTAATCGGAGCTACGAAATTATACGTAATGCATTTTTAACCCGTTTAGCAGATATATGGATTATCTGCAAAAATTGTTCGATTCCAACAATAAAGAGAAACTGCCTTTATGAACGTATGTCCCACAATAACTTTTTGGGCCTTTTTATGGGTTACAACTTCTTAATATCCGTTGGGAACAGGTATTGCCATATGTTTCTCAATGCAAGTTTGCATCAAATGAAATAAGAAATTGAAATCGTGCAGAAAGCAAATTGGCCAACAAGTGACGAATTTTATACATGATGAAAGTTCAAATGAAGTGAGTTATACTATATATATGTAATTAACGACTGCCTAAACGAAAGGTAGCGATGTTTAAATAGTCATAACAGCCAAATATCACATGAGTATAACGATGAACGTTGATTAAGATATGAATATGATACACACACACACACGCGCACACACGCACCAACGCTCGCACGCACGCACGCAAGCAATGTATAATATGTCTCGTAAATGAAACCCGTTAAAGACTCTGTTAAAACGTGAAAATCTTTCGTATAAAAATTCTATTGGAATTGCGTGTTATCATTTTATAATATTCATTTTTTCCTTGATAAGTTATCGTCCGGATTTTAATATGATGTGAATGTCTATTATTAACAGAACATTGCGTATAAAACACTTTCTTAGCGTCGGTGTGTATCTAATTTCTTAAATGACTAAATTTTCTATCTATAATTTTGTTTATATTTTTTTTTCTTCAAAGACAAATTGTTTCAAGTTACATATACCAAATGAAATGACTATTACAAGCGTGTTCATAAGAATATCATAATATTTAACATTTCGTACAGAAAACATCTTCGACAAAAATATAGCCTTTTAATATTGCGGCGTTTGTTTACAAAGTGTTGGATACGACACAGTTTAGATTCCCAGCCATATAGAAAGTTATTTCAGGACAAATCCTTTGGTGTTCCGGTCCGCATACTTCGGTTCTGGATCATCAAAAATACACTTAGACGATGTTAAATGTACGGGAACTGAAACAATCTTATCCCAATGCCAGCACAAAGGTTGGGGTAAACACAATTGTGGTCACAATGATGATGTTGGCGTATCATGTTCACCAGGTAATCGTTGATGATTAATTATTGTTGTTGTTTATGTTTTCTTTTTTTTGGAAATACACAATTTATTTATCGTATATTTGAAAGACTGCAAGATATTTGAAAATACATTTCTGTAAATATGAAGTACGATTTAAGCTGATGAGCCCTTATATTTAAGTGACACATGATCATCAAACATGCGTATATTATAGGTTATTCGTCTGTTTGCACCTACCGATATCATTTAATATTTTATATTATCGTATAATAACTTAAATCTCATTGGTCCAGACAGTCGTGGACAATTTTATAAATCACAATTACTAGGTGCATCATCATATTCACTGGCTGAATTGGATTTTCCAAATTTAATACAAAAAATCAAACTCCTACTGAATGATCTTTCGTTTAATTCCTTACTCAAATACAATGTATCATAACTTCATTATCAAAGTTAAAAGTAATACCATAATGAAGAGTATCTACTTGAATTACTTTTGTTTGCATCTGTTTCCGTAGATGTTGAACGTCTGACGTTACTCTTTATTGCGTGCGTCTTTTTCCCACGCTTGGATAAAATAGTCAACAGTTTTGGTTTTCATTATAAGCTTTACATAAATATCGTCCAGAACTTATTCATTAAGTCACCACCGATCATCATTATGGATTATTCCGACTTCCGACCAGATTCTATCGGAAAGCTGTAATTTGCATCTATGCAACATTTCTTAGAATGTCGTGGTACTTTTTCAGCACAAGAAAGAAAACAAAAAAAAAACAAAAAAAAACCCCCAAAAAAAAAAAAAAAAACGAAAAAACAAAACAAAAAAACAAAAAAAAACAATACGACTTACTTTTCAAACTACAACCTATACAAAACATGTTTGTTTTAACAATAAAATTCGGAAAGCAGAGTCCATAATATAGAGTTACCTTGTACTAACCAACTACTTCAGTCTGAGTTTTCCATTGTAGTGTAAGTCAGTTAATATTTTTGGAGTGATGGTTCGATATATGCTAACTTACATGATAACTTACAATAGCAACGTTTTGCATATACATGCAACATATACATCGGTGATAATTATTTAAATGTGTTACCTCTACTAGATATGATGTTAATGCAACATGTTTTTCTGCATTGGAATCTATGGAAACATCATATTGGGCCTGAATCCGCAGGTCAAAAAAATTATACATTTGATTCGATTATTTCGTGTTGTTTGATTTTTGTACAGTGAAATTACGCAGTCAGCTATTTTAGCTAGGCACGTTCTGCATGGCCGCGTATCCGTTTGTGTATTTTCCCATTAATGCATTGTCAGCGGGCCAAGTAAATAAGACTGTAGGTTAATAAAGCTTAGACCGGGGATGAGTGTTCTTGTGAACCTTGTAAATCATTAATTGTGTATAGGTGGTAGTATTTGCAAAGAAGAGATTACACTGGTACAGAAATGAAAGACACTGATTTGGTAACCTTCCCCCGCTATATATTGTTATGCACTTAAAAGGTAATAATAAGTTAATCATTAAAACCAGAGCTCCATCTGTGTAACATACCTGCAAGTGCTTGCGGATCGGGCGACCTTCCTACCTCTATGACATGTTTAAGCTTGCGTTCTAGATGTCATTATTTTTATTTGTTTATACTTTTGTTATATAATATTGATGACCCTTTTGAAGTTCGATTGGTAAACGGATCGAATCAATATGAAGGGAGACTAGAAGTATGGTATGATGGGTCTTGGGGAACAGTGTGCGATGATGGATTTGATGATATGTCGGCATCTGTTGTTTGTAGGATGCTTCATTATCCACAGTAAGTAACAAACATTTTAGTGCTTTATCATTTTAGTCCACCATTTTTTCAAACTTGTTTGTTAAAAGCAAAATTTGATAAGAGTTTTACAACAGACAATCACGTTTAATGAACAATAACAATTTACCAAAAAGTAATGTATTTATTTTCTTCGACAAACACGTTGAATTTCAAACAAACTATCAGAATTAATGTATCAAAAGTTTGCAATTCTTTTAAACATGTTACGATTCAGCAAGTGGTACAAAATATTTTAGTGTCTGATACCTCGTCTATGATTCAAGTAAAATCAAGACATTGGGCTGAAATATAATCGATTGAAATTTGCAAACCTCTTTTATCTTGGCCATAATGACTATGTTTCAATAAGGTGATACTTCTAAAAATTCCAGTGATGACATCGTTCATTCTTAAAATACGAAAACAAAAGTCTCAATCCTATGAAATACGCAAGAATGGTAATCTCAAACCTAAATTAAAGAAACATTTTGCTGTTGTCGACTTTAATCATTTTGTCTTATTTAGGTGGACATGCTATGTTATCACGTCTAACATCTTTTTCTGTTCCGTCTCTTAAAATTTCAGACAAAGAAGCTGATATTATTGTTAATACGTAAAACTGATCTCTTATATACCGCAACCTATCTTATACAAAAACTTACAAGTTTAACTCGGAATATTTTAATACATCATTTCGACACAACCGCTGAACATAACAGTTTCTTACAGTTCGTTTTCTAAACAAAGGTATTGATTTCAACGATTTGCTAGTACGGAAACGTTAAAGGTGATAATGAGGTGTAAGACGACTATTTTTTTGTTAGATTTGTGTTTGGTTTGTGAAGTCCTATCTTTGTTAATTGTTGCCAGCGGTAAGTATTCCCTTTCCCCTTATTTGCCGTTTAGTGTAACCCCCTCATTCCACCCAACCAATGTTTTTTAATTTCCACACCAGCGCTAACTTTTTTTATTATAATTATAGTTTCCGTGAACATCGCCTTGCCCTTTTGATCTTGGTTTTATTTTATTCTTTTGCATTAGAAATTTGACAAACAATACTATTTTAGAACCAATCCTTTGGTATTTGGGACAGCGTACTTCGGAGCTGGAGAACTACCAATATATTTAGACGATGTTAATTGTGCGGGAAATGAAACAAGCTTATCTAGATGTCCTCATCTAGATTGGGGAAAACATAATTGTGATCACAACGACGATGTTAGCATATCATGCACACCAGGTAACATTTGAAAAGTGGTTATTTAAAATATTTGAAAAAATTTACCTCTTTTTCACTTTGTCCTGCACTGTTTATCAAATATGTCTAGGTTTCTGAAATTATGTTAATGTTTCAAGTGGGTGAATCGTCTATTCATTCAAGCGTACGGATGCTTTCTTTGCATATTTGCATAATGCGGTTCATTTCGTTTAACAACTACATTTGTACTGTTTGGTTTGGTGTTATTTTAGCAGTTTAACATTACATATATCTGCAACCAAATACTATTATTTCTATCCTTGTCTGTTATCCAATTTCCCCCCAAGTATTCTTTGTATTGTTGGTAGTTTTGGCAGTTTATCCCCACGATAAAGGCAGTAAGTCACATTGAAATTAACAGGGCACAGTGTAGCCACATCATTTCTGGACAAGCTTTCAGACAGTTTTCTAGTACTAGAAATATCACTTTCGAAAGGAATTGATAACCTCTCTACATGCCAGAGCAGAGGTGTAGTGCAAATGACCGAAGAAAGGATTTCGTGGTCAATCACAACGAAGTAACCACCGTCCAGGAATCGGACTGGCACTGAATTTAATGACCAGTTCAAAAGGTCAAGACACCATTTTTTATGGTTCATGAGAAGAGAATCCAGTATTCAAATTTTGAATGCTTTACATGTGTTCCTTAACCATACAGTGTCTAACAGTCACGTCATCCCTTTCCATTTGATTCCATTTCTATGGCACATGTATTAAGCTTATTAAGCTGAAAATAGAAAAAATAAAACATCGGAACCCATAAAGAGCGACGAAAACGACACAATTGAAAATGGTGCAGGCTCGGTTCTATTATCATGAATAGAAGTTATAAAAAATATTTTTCTATGCTTTTTGTTGCATTTAGTGTTAATTGTTGTTTTTAAATTTTGTTTTAAAATTAACAATAAAATAAAGATATGCTGTTAATAATAGCCTGTTATTACCTCGTCCAGCTACATGTATTTATCTTCATGTGTTACCTTCTCCTAATGATAGTAATAATGATAATGATCCAAACAATAACGTCAGCGTATTGAATATCACTCCGCTAATTATAACAAAAGCCACGGCTGATCGGTTCCAAAGTAGTGGTTATACAGAACAGAACAGAACAGAACAAATATTTTATTATTTTCAGACTTGAGCATATGCTCCTCATCTTAACAGAAATACAGTATATATCAAGGTATCACATAAACATTACAAAAGTATGAATATTCTTATATAAATATATATACATCAGTACATAATTATTTATCATGAGAGTGATATAATATAATGGTTATTTATACAAAGTCGGATTACAATTATATTATTTTCTTAACATATCGAACAATTGTTATCCCGGCAAGAGAAATGCACTTGTTATACTTTTAAGGCTACTAAGTATTTCTAGAGCAATATAATATTGAAACAAAAGCAATAAACTATAGCACTTCTTTGGAATATATTACTATTACAGACTCAGATAATTTATACAATGAGACTATGTTAACAAATTACTCCTTATTTTCAATGCACAATTCAGATAGCAAGCTAGATTGTTCAAAGTGTGTACATTCTTTGATTTAAACAACTGAGTGAGTTTAAACACACTAGGACGTTCGTAAAAATAATTGTCTATATATCGTTTTCTTACACTTTTATACTTTGTACATGTTTAAATAAAATGATATTCATCTTCAATGGCATTTGATCCACATACTTCGCAAACTCTCTCGCTCCTTTCTATCCTATTCTGTCCGTATCTACCGGACTCAATACGTAGTTTATGTGAAGAGAGTCTAAACTTTGTTAAAACTTGTCTACACTTTTTTGATTTAACAACACTCAGGTAATCCTCATACACAAAGTCTTGTTTAACATTCTTATACACAAATAAAACACTATTGTTAGTCAAACTACTATTCCAGTCTTGCACAAAAGTATCTATTAAACGCTGCCTAAAACATGTAATGAAACAGTTAATGTCAACATTTTGTGGTGATTCCCAAATATAGCAGAATCCATAGCTATATAATAATTTCTTTACGTTATGAGCCCAGTTTACCTTTTCATCTTCCAGCATCAAATCATAAACTTTTCTAATTATACATCGTAATTCTTTTTGTTTGATAGATTTGTAATTTATGGAAAAAATAGATACATTATCCGATACATTTACATGTAAATTGGAATTTAATAAAATGCTTTTATTTGAAGTGTGTAACAGTTTCCGGATTTTGTCTTATTAATTAAAAAAAAGGAAAATAAAAACACCAGATCAAACTTAACTCCCTGATCATTTGCGAAAGAATCAATGAAAGAAATCAATGATTATAGTTTTAAAATATTGATGTTTTCTTGAAGTTCGATTGGTTAACGGATCGAATCAATATGAAGGGAGACTAGAAGTATGGCATGATGGGTCTTGGGGAACAGTATGCGACGATAAGTTTGATGATATGTCGGCATCTGTTGTTTGTAGGCTGCTTCATTATCAACGGTTAGTAACAAAATTTTAATTCTTTGTAATTACAAAGCCAGCCATTATTCTAACGAATATTTGTTTGCGGCAAATATAGTAATTAGAGGTTATAATAAGGTATAAAGATTGTTCTGTAAGATTCTAAAAAGGAATATTTCATTTTTCTGCTCAAGCACGTTTAATTTCAAGATTTTATATTGTATGATATATGTCGAAAAGTATATTATTTCTGAATTAGTTTGCTAGGACCAACAGGTTTTTGAATCCAGACTGCATCGTATCTATAATTTTGTAGAAAAACGCCACCACCTTAATTGAATTGAACTGAATGCAAAAGGTATGTTTTTCAAATAGGTTTCTGTCGGATACATTGGAAAAAATATTTCCTGCTTCTCATGAATAAAAAAAGTGTTTTTCAGATTTTTTTTGTAACTTTAAATATTGTTTAAGTTGCTTGGCAAGACTTGATTTTGTTAAATGATCGGTGGTCATTTTATTGTGTTAATGTTTAAAGATAGTGAAAACTTTAAATTGAACTCCGTCATGAAGCAAATAATTTTAAATGTATTAAAGGCAGTTGGAAGACGTTAGTGCCTGAAATATTTAGGAATATAGGCCTACGTTTGCTGCAAGTATAAATTGCACTTAACATTGTGGCGATTTTTCTTGTAAGATGCAAAATTTAAGGGTGATGCAAAACAAAAAAAGAACCCTCTAATAAACAAGTTGATAAACGAAGCCATATAAATTGAAAACTATGATGCAAGCGGATGTGACGTTGAATATATTTAACAATTCAAGTTCATGCAAAGATAAGATATTGATAATTAAATATAGACTTAGGGAATGAAACACGGAAAGGTCCAAGAATTGCTCCATTGATATTCCTTGGTCAAACAGACCATTCTACACATCAAACATCTAGACACTAGGCCTTTAGTTTAATATATTACAAATATTGAATGTTGTAGTCTTACAATCAAGTGATCTCTTGTAGGTGTCAGCGTTCAGGTCACGTTACAAAGACCCACCCTTCCCCCTACCCCACCCCAAAGGAAACAACAGAAAAAAAAATGTTAGAGGTCCACTAGGCAATGTTGCACTACAAATATCAAATTCCGTGCTTACATTGTCTCTATGTACAGTTTAAGGGTTACAGCAAAGAACCATGTGGGTTGAGTCAATTTTAACGTCAGATAAAACCACTAGAACATGTAACACATTGAAAAAAATTCTACACCTTTAGATTTTAACAAGAAACATTAAAACATTTTTCATTTAAATTAACATAAATCTAGTCACCTCTTATTTTAAGAATCATTGATTTGAAGAAATAATTTAGAAGTCAAAAATACGCTGGGTCATGCAAAAATTCTAAATGTTTGCTTGTAAAATCAGTAAGTGGTATTAAACAACTCATATAAAGAGAATAGAAGTTCTGGAGCTGGTAAAAAGGACAACGGAACAAATATCACGATTGGTCAATGATTTCCATAACCGTTTGTTAAGTTAAAATTACAACATATGACGTGCATATCATCTTTCATTTAACTGCGCCATATCATGCTATACCAACTCTTACCTAACTACTTCCTCAAGCGATGTATACGTACAAAACAATTTCTAAGATAAATCATTATCTGCAAAGCCGTCCCAATCTTTAGATTTCTCGTGCGGCTATCATAAAAGCTTTTATTTATATTTTTAGTTGCAAGTTAAATACACGAACTAAAGTTATAAAATGAGAAGCTAGTTTCATCTATCTATCTTATTATCACACATTTCTGACAGTTAAAAGTGTTGGAGAAAAAATGCTTTTTGATATTTCCAAGATGATGGCGTTGTTTTTACAAAATTATGGATACAATCCAGAAACAAAATCATTTTAGGACAAATCCTTTGGTGTTTGGGTCCGCACATTTCGGCGCCGGAACACTGCCGATACATTTAGATGATGTTAAATGTACCGGTAATGAAACGATCTTATCGCAATGCCAGCATTCTGGTTGGGGAAAACATAATTGTGGTCACAAAGACGATGTTGGCGTGTCATGTACACCAGGTAATCTTTGTCTGATACTAATAGTTTCTGAAAAACATAATTAATTTATTATACATTTGAAAGATATAACATGTTGACTTTAAACAGGTTAGCTGACCAGTACATGTCTGCCACAGTTAAAGTAAATCAGGAGGATCAATACTTTCAAAATCTCCATCATAAATTGAATTATCGTCACTTTTTAAAGAGGGCAGTCATTTTTATAATTTGTATATTTTTCTTTTATGAAGGGAAATATATTACTCTGCTGATTGATGATATGCAAAAATATAAAAAATGATTTAAACATTTGTTTTGAAATACATTTTGAAGTTCGATTGATGAACGGGTCAACTCAATATGAAGGGAGGCTGGAAGTATGGCATGATCGGTCTTGGGGAACAGTATGCGATGATGAATTTGATGCGCTGTCAGCAAGTGTTGTGTGTAGGATGCTTCATTATCAACAGTAAGTAACAAACAATATAATGATTTTCATTCACTTAAGTCAACCAAATTTTTACACGGGTTTGATATTGGCAAAATCAACAAAATTCAGTGCTTTTACAGAAAATCACATCTAATAAACAATCACTATTAACGGAACAGAAATGTATTTTTCTTCTTTCACCAAACAAGCTAAAATGGAAAAAGGAATATAATCATAATGAATTACAAATTCAAAGTAGATTATAAATTTGTTAATAAGCATAACTATTTCAGGACCAATCCTTTGGTATTCGGGTCCGCATATTTCGGTGCTGGGACATCCCTAATATTTTTAGACGATGTTAAATGTACGGGAAATGAATCAATCTTATCCGAATGCCTGCATAAAGGTTTGGGTAAACATAATTGTAGTCACAATAACGATGTTGGGATTTCATGTGCACCAGGTAAGCAATTTTAATCAAAATAAAATTATTATGGGTGTTTCACCCTCGTAAAGTCAATCGTAATCATACACGTCGTGGTCAAATATTTCTTTTCTTTTGAAATGATGTATATAGTAAATGTACCGACTGTACGACCGAACTTTTCCTACATGCGTGTTTGACTTTACGAAGGTCGCATTGTATAACTACTATGAGGTGAAAAATTTCATGGGAATTATTATTATGATGTCCGTTCATTAGTTCAGTTTTACAGTTACCCTATATATACTTACTGACACATATATTTTCTTGATCCGTGTATGTAATCTAAATTCTCAATTAAGTTTTCTTTCGAGTTATTTCTTATAGTTTTTATCAATTAAGATTATTTATTATTTATTCACAAAATGTACTGACACTTGTGCCGTCATTCGTTTAAATTTTCTGCATTTACCTTTAAAAAAGAACGATCGTTTTAGAATTGTAACAAAGTCCTTGGTAAATTGATTTCTTTCGTTATTATATTGTTTCGTAAGAGTTAACCAAAACATGTATTGTTTTTTATTATTTCTTTTTAATCACAAATACATGTCATGTACATGTAACATCAATATATTGTACAATTCAGATAAAAGTAGTTACTGCAATACAATTTAACAAAACAATTATAATATACAAATTCTGCAACATCATTTTGTGTATTTTTAAGTAAATTGATTTACAATGAAATACAACATATTTAAATGTTCATTCTGAATCACTTTGCATTTTATTTACTTCTAATGGAATCATGAGTTGATAGTGCTGCAAATTCACTAGTTAAATGACAAGATGGTGTCAAAGATGACCACCAAATGCCTAAATATTCTAGAATTCTATTTGTATTTCAAGTGAAATTTTGCACGTCAAATATCAGCGTTTTAAACGATTAAGCTTGATTTCATAGGAAAAAACATGTTGTTTTTTTATTTTTTATTTTGCTTTTTATATATAAATAAGCAAATTGATGCTTAATATATAGGCTCCTGCTATAATACTCTTGTCTTTATTTAAACAGGGAAAATTTTATTACTTATTTTGTTTACCGCTATTGTAATGTAATCATTAGAAAGATATTGATGTATGCATATCATATCTGAAGAAATATTTGTTATTTATTTGAAAAATAATTAAAACCATGCCAAAGAGTTCGTGTTATGATCAGGGATCTATCCAGCTGCAGGTGTTCCTATAGAGGATATCTCGCACAAGCTGATACAAAGTACAGTTTAAATAAAAATGACACACTGTCCCGGTTTGGCCACAAGCGTTTAGGTTTGATTTACTTAAGCGCATTGTTTTCTCGTTTCAAGCATTTGATCACTTGAGAACTTTACGCCGTATGTTGTGGAATTGCACGAACATTTTACATTGAAGGCTCAGTCTATTATCATGGTTTTATGAATAAATCTTTGGATGTATCTTCACTTCCTTCAAAACTTTACCAATACATATCTGCTTAACCCGGTGCTAAGGGGCATTGACGTATACTGCAATTTCTGCTACGGTCTGTGAATAGAATAGGCTGAATCAAACTGAGCCATCAACCTTTTCAATGGTGTCGTTCTAGGCATTCTTTATGGGTCCCGTTATAACAATTATCTAGTTCATTAATACCATATGTGTACTCTTTCACATTGCCGATCACATTTGAAATTAATGTATTTTGTTCAAATTAACCTAGCTCTGTGAACTATTTTACGTTAAGCAAACTGGGATATTGACACTAGTACATTCATGATTAAGTGGACAAACATTTAGTAACGGAATAGATATCGCTCGAGATGTGTATAACCATTGGTTTGTACCATCACGAGATACTAGAAAAAAAAACCGGATGAAAAAATTCCGTAGTATAATAAGAAGTACGTTGGCTGTCTGTTTTCAGAGCAAAAATCAAAATATGAACATTATAAAGTGTTTTTTTTGTTTTCATTCAACTACATAATTATTTTGAAGAGAGATTTTGAAATATAAGTAAAATGGTAGTTTTTCTTCTTGCGTGCTGCTTTAAAAAGGGAGATGTGGTATCACTGTTTACCTTAAATCTTTTCATACAATCGAGGACTAATTTAAATGTCAACTGAACATTATTATGTCTTGGAATTTATAATCCCGAAGGACCTCAAAGATATAATAACACTGAAATTAAGTAAGTTGCAACTTTAAGGGTTGTCACAGCACTTTATATCCGCTGTTGATGCATAGAAATCCGAAAAAAAGATGACTTGACAGCAATTAAAAGAAAGCAATAGTTGACAATTGAAGACATTTGTCGCCCCGTACATTCACTCAGAGATGTTATATTTCCGATCCTTAAAGATAATTCAGCAAGACATAATTGTTGTGCTTGTGGTAATTTAGTTCTTTCTAATATTCGGCTATTTTCTTGATGGGTGGTTCCATAATTTCTCACTTGAATACTGTTGAATTACCCTTAGGATATGTGGCCTGCTTTTTAAATTTGTATTTTGACGTATTATCTGTGATATGAAGGCTTCATAATCTCTGATTCCCTTTCAAAATTCCATTTTATTTAGTTCCGCTCATTGTTTTTTCGTTTAGGGCACACGCATTTTTTACTGGGGGACCATATGCCGCTTTTCATGGAATGGCACTTACGTGTCACATTGAAGGTTTCATGATAACCGCCATATGAACACATCTGCGGATGTTTCAAAATTCAAAATTGTTCTAGTTCATGTTAAATGTTAAATTCTGCTTAAGCAGGTGCTAGGGGGTGTGAACAGTAATTTGCACTTTACAGCACCGTCCATGAACAGGCTCAATCAAACGGAGCCTGCAACATTTTCAATTTTGCCATTTTGGGCCCCCCCCCTTCCCCCGGTCTCCTGTCCCCTTCCCCTTTGTGGGCCTATTATTATTTTCTTTGAATTCCTAATCAGTTACAAATTATTTATCATTTAATGATTAACGTGTCGTTGCCCTGTCCTTTTTATGTTTGGGGTCCACCTGGGCTCCTTGCCATTGGTTCTTGTTGCTGGATCATATGGGGGTTGCGTTCATTGAACGCCGCCTTTCCTTGTTGATCTTGTTTTTCATATTTCTTTGGAGATCCTTCTTTTCTCTATTTTGTCTATTAATAAGAGATTATATTATGCCAAAATCTTTCACTCCCTCTAGCATCAGCTTATGTACTTCAGATTTAGTAATTGGACACCATCCACCTGTAGACCTAAGGGAGCGTGTTTGTACACAAGCGATGTGATTCTTTATTAAAGAGGAGACACCTTCTCTATTTTTATCTAATATCGAATTGTAAGAGCCAATCTGCTGTTATATGGGTAAGAGTTTAGTTAGACTCCATACGGTCGTCTTGATACAAACTTTTACCCATACATTTTAAGCAAGGACATCTAGTAAGTGATAGTTATTTCTTTTTCTTTCGTGAAAATAAGACAATGAAAACTAAGAAAAATGCCAAAGTTCATCTTTTTAGCATAAGTTAGTTAAAAATAAGAAATTTCATGTAACATTCCAATTGATTTACAAAACTTAAAAAGGAATAGGCCAACGTAAATATTTTAGAATATTAAGGGATTTGACGGCCATATTTAACGCCATCTTGTATAACTCAGCTTTGCATCGGGATTGGGTAAAATGAATATCCATTCCAGAAACTACAGATCTAGAAAAACATTTTAGTATATGAAACTTGCTGTTGGCTGAAATAGACCAGGTACCTCTCTAAATAGGCTCGTAAAATTGGCTTATTTGCAACACAGTGTATTATCAGTACGTGAATCTGGATGGAATAAAATAGTTTACTTGGAACATAAAAGAGTCTGTTAAAACGTTAACAGAAAAGAAAACGAATAAAGTTCATCTGTGTGCAAAATAACAACAAATATTAATGTTATGCTTAAGTTCGATTGGTGAATGGGTCAAATCAATATGAAGGGAGGCTGGAAGTATGGAGTAATGGGACTTGGGGAACAGTATGCGATGATGGGTTTGATGCGATGTCAGCAAGAGTTGTTTGTAGTATGCTTCATTATCAGCAGCAAGTATCAAAACATTTTTATGTTAAGATCATGGAATCAGAACTGCGCTGTATTCATCATTTTAAAAACAAACGCCGATACCTTTGCAAATAACAGATAAGTTTTTGTTCAACACTTTTTCTGTTTGAAACATCTGATAACACAATATACTAATAAACACGTTATGAGCTTCATTTTGTGTTTGCAACATGAAAATATTGTTTGAAAAGCAAAATGTATAGAAAACTGGAATTTCGAGTCGGAAACGAATTTACAAATTTCGATCCACTCATCCACGCACCTTTTTGACTTACAAATTGTTTAAATATTCGTTTAGTAATTGAATATGTAGTACAAAATAAAATATCACAATAGAAGTCGAATTTACGTTTCATATCAAACAATGATTTTCAAGAAAACTTTATTTTTTGAATAACGATATGGCGCAGTTATGAGAAATGCAATAATGCAGTTGAATTTTACGGCAGACATTTGACAGGATTTGTTCTGTTCAACACTGTTTGCATATTTTACCATTTTAAAAAGATTTATTGTCTTTAATAAATAAAAATATTATTACCATATTCTTGTCGGACTAGATTAAATACGATTCTTTTACAGTAATGCTTTAAGACAGTGGAGACTTGCGATTCAATTTCCGCATGAAATGAATAATTCAATATGTCATCAAGGCATTTGTACAAATATATCGTAATATTGGAATGAAATTTTGAGTCAATTAACAGTCATGCTCTTATGCCTTTAAGCACGAACCCTTTGATATTCGGGTCCGCATACTACGGCGCTGGGACATTACCGATACATTTAGACGATCTTAAATGTACGGGAACTGAAGTACTCTTATCGCAATGCCAGCATTCTGGTTGGGGAAAACATAATTGTGGTCACAATGACGATGTTAGCATGTCATGCACACCAGGTAATCTTTGCCTGTTAAAATTGCTTCTGAAATAAAAGTAATAATAGTTAACTTGGTAATTATGATTAGTATTAATTACAATATGTCAAAACAAACATGTGTGTAAATATGAAAGATTGAAAAATGATTTAAACTGCTAGCCCCTTTTAAAGAAATCTTTACATTTCAAAGAATATACTAATATCACCATTAAGCTAAACCTGTAAAAATGTTGTATATGTTAAATAAAAAACATTTTCTTTTCAACAAAACTTTCTTACTTAGTGTACTGTTGTTTTATTTAATGTAATTGCAGTTCCTGATGAACAGTTCGCGAAAATAATTTCAATAAAGAAGCAGTTGTTTTAAATTTTAGCGTGCACTTGGTAAAATTGCACGTAACATTTTATGCCCCCACAAATAAAGAAAAGTCATTGTTTTTGTAGCGCCCGTCCTTCCGTCCTTCCGTTCTAACGGGACAGTAATAATGTGGCTAGAGGGACAATAGTTAACTACTTTTTTCTTTTTGATGTCATTCGTTCCGTAATGTTTTTATGTAGCTATTTCCTTTTGTGTGGCTAAAGAGAAATTTAGAGAGAACAATAGAGTACCAACATATTACTGTCACGTTAGAACGTGTCATGCGTAATAATCAGGTCCCAACCACAAAGGTCAAGGTCACCTCGAAAATCAAATGTCATTATATGAATTTTTGTAAGAGTACACGGATGTTTGAGTCCAATCAACAATTCTGTCATTCCTGGATGGATCTAAAAATCAATATGTAAGAATGTGTTTCACATAATGGAAGTGTGTGTCAGAAGAAATCAGGTCCTGATCGCAAGGTCATTGTCGCACTTGTAGAATGTAGAACAGAAGTCATGATATGAATTTATTTTTTTGTGTCTGGTCATCAATCCAAGATGAATTGATGACATATAATAATAATTGAACTGTCTATAACTTTTTATGCATAAATTGCCTTCATATTTAGACACGACATCCTTAATGACAAGATCTTAATGAAAATAAAACTTAATTTGACCTTAACTTTCAAATGACCTTAACATTGTAGGTGAAATGCTGTTTCTGCTCGGATGTAACTTTGCTATTAGTGAATAACTGAATGGAAATTATTCATACTTGACAAACATGAAATAAATATGCAAAATTACAATACTTATTTTTATGTGTGTGAGTGTACGTGCGTGCTATGTGTGTGCGTGCTTGCGCGCGCGCGCGTGTGTGTGTGTGTGTGTGTGTTGGTGTGTGTGTTGGTGTGTGTGTGTGTGTGTGTGTGTGTGTGAAGTTACATTACTAAGTTTGACATAATAATGTACTTTTTTAAATTTGAAAATATCCCCAAATATATATCCTATGTGACTATAGCTTTGTTATTTTTGAACGAGTTATTTTCATAATTGGACTCATCAATCATTTGGAATGTTCCTTCAAGTTGACAACATTGACTTTGATTATGAGCCATAGATGAATTTGACCTTCAATTTTATTTTATTTAAGCTCACAAGAGCTTTAAGAGCTTTGTGATCGCTTTTCGTCCGGCGTGTGTCCGTACGTACGTCCGTCAGTCCGTCCGGCGTTCGTAAATTTTCACTTTAAACGACATCTCCTCATTAACCGCTTAGCCAATTTCATCCAAGCTTTACAGAAATGTTCCTACCAAATGTGACTACCAAGTTTGTTCAAACAAAAGCCCTTGGCTTTAAATTGACTCCGCCCCGGGGGCCATCGTTTTCCTTATATGTATAAAGTAGAAACTTAAAAAATCTTTTTTTAAAGCCCCAAAGAGCTAAAGTTAAGATATTAAGCATGGAACATCTCATAGAAGGGGTATACCAAGTTTGTTCAAATAAAAAGCCTGGAGTCAAAATTAGCCCACCCCATGGGTCAGTGATTTTCCTTATATGTGTATATCAAAAACTTCTTTTCAAAAATCCAAATATCTAGAGCTTAGATTTTAAGCATGACGCATCTTCTAGTGGGTGTATACCAAGTTTGCTCAAATAAAAGCACTGGAGTCAAAATTTGACCCGCCCAAGAGGTTAATTGATTTTCCTTATATGTATATACTAAAGACTTTAAAAGAAAAAAAAACTTAGAAAAAAACTTAAAAAAGAACAACAAACAAATCAAGAACAAAACAAAACAAGAACAAAAAACAACCCCAAAAAACAAAGAGCTAGACCTTAGATTATTAGCATGAACTATCTTCAATTATAGTCTACCAAGTTTGTTAAAATAAAAGCCCTAGGTTTAAAATTGATCCCGTCCCAGGGGGTCATTGATTTTCCTAATATGTACACATCTTTATAAACTGTTATTTTCCCTCAGTAATAGCAACCAGTAATGTTTAACACTATTTCAGATACAAATTTTAACGGTTAAGATTTAGATTTTTTATCTGCTTTTATTTATAGTTTACGCTTTGTTTATTGTTTACAATTTTACTTGTTCATATCAAGTTTTTCTATTCAACAATGTTTGGTCATCATATGGTCCTCTTGTTATTATGTCTTCATATTTAGACACATCGTCATTAAGGACAATACTTTGATAAAAATCAAACTAAGCATGATCTGTGCACATAAATCACCTTGACCTTGAAAGTATAATTACAGTAGAATCTCTACTTAAAACCACCCCAGAATTAAGACCTATCCGTTTTAAGACCATTTTTAAAGAACGAAATTTTGTGTTCTTTATGTCAATGATTACATGAACCAGAATTAAGACCGCCCCTCTTATCCACTTTAAAGACCACCGGATTCAGTCCCAATTCTTTGTTTCATTCTTTATTTGAACCTTCTATTGAGACCACTGAATTGTTAAAGTCAACACCTATATAGATCCCAATTTTTTGTTTCTATCTGCTTGAATGCTCTTAGGCATGACAATTGATTTCACAAGGTCTAAAAAAACTGTTATTATTGGGTTATTGTATGAAATAAGGTGTGAAAGTAAATTTTAGAGTCACTGTTGTTTAATGGTGCTTTCAGCACTTTTATTTGTGAAGAATTAATATCTCATATGATAGATGAATTATGCACATCATAAAATAATGAATATTGAAATCAGACCACAATATTATATTTCTTCAGAAATATTTCTCATCAGATTAAATATTATACCAACAATATAACTTGTACATTGTATTTTAGGTTAAGATATACATATTGTTTGTTCATACAAAACAACTAAAATAGACCATAGTAATAAATTTTGTCCTGTTATTTACTGTAACTTTGAATTTTGGCGAACGAAATGTTTTCTTATTTGGATGCTTTAAATTTTGCTGAAAGTTGAACTGACATTGAGTTTAAAGACACTTTATCTGCCAATATCAAATTATTAAACTTGGCTTTAATTTTCATATCTTTGTTATTATGTATCATTATGATTCATACTTAGTCAACCATCATGTTGATTAAAATATTACCTGCACCACCAAGGTCAAATTATAAAATTTTGATTTTTTAAAATTTATTTATGAATTTGATTTATAAGCCAAACATTTCCCTTGTCTGCCAATGGCTCTTGTTTAGTTGAATATGTTTAAACCAATAGAGGTTATACTTTACTGACTAGAAATTTGACAAATAATTAAAGAAACTTTATGATTAATTGAATTTTAAGGAAAAGGTATAGGGTCACCAAAGCTACTTTGCGTGTCAGTTAAAAATATTAATATTTACAAACAGTGTTACTTAATACTATCATTTGTACAATGTTGACTTTTTCATACAAGATAATTTCTTTTAATATGTATCATTTTGCTTTGAAAGGTATTCAAATTTCTGTCAAGGACATCGGTGGGAGTATGAATCCCCTTGTCTTTGTATGTGAAAGTCGCTTTCCGTATGAGATCGTATGAGATATCATTTATGAAAATATGATTGATACTTAACACAGAATACCGTTATGTATGCTTAGGATTTAAATGTTTTACTTGAACAATATATTAGCTCCCGGATATTTGTCTTGTGAAAAAGATTAACTTTTAAAAGAATAAAAAAATGGATCATACTATTTAATTTGATGATATTCAAAAATATAAAAAAATAAAACGATCGTTTTTATATTTCTTTTGCTGTTCTTGAAGTTCGATTGATCAATGGTTCCAGTCAATATGAAGGTAAACTGGAAGTGTGGCATAATGGGTCTTGGGAAACAGTATGCATTAATGAGTTTGATGCGCTGTCAGCAACTGTTGTTTGTAGGATGCTGAATTATCCACAGTTAGTAACAATCAATGCTTTATTAATCATTAAGGTCAACTACTTTTCAAACATTTTAGATAAAATGCTGTTTTTCAGTGGTTTGAAATGCCGACAGATGAACAGAAGCAATTGATTTATTTGATTCTTAAAATAAATTATAAAATAAATTTTCTGCAAGGATAATGTTTAAGACTTTGTATGAATTAATGTTTATTATGATACAAAACGACAATAAATGAGTTTGTTTTATAAGAAAGAAATTTATTTATTCTAGGGCAAATCCTGTCATAAACGGATCCACATATTTTGGCGCTGGGAAATTACCAATTACTTTAGACGATGATATATGTACGGGCACTGAATTAAGCTTATCTCAATGTTCACATAATGATTGGGGAACACATAATTGTAGTCATAAGGACGATGTTGGCGTATCATGTTCACCAGGTAATATCATTAAAGTGTAACAGATGAAGATTTGATCAATAAAGATAGACAAATTCAGGTTTAAGTAGAAGTGAATAAAACATTTTCTTAAAACTGCCAACCCTATATTAGTTCGTTTTATTCAGTCCCTGTTTATGAACAACAACAACAACAACAAAACTAATAATGATAATACTAACAACAACAACAAAACTAATAATGATAATACTAACATCAATTATAGCTTTAATGTAGTTTTAATGTAGAAATTTTAATTTACTTGTTTTCGTTATTTTTTAGCTGTTTTTCTTAAGGCAGCCCCTTAGAGACATGTTATTTTCATATTTTATATCTTTTATTTTCATATACATTGTATATCCTTTAGAATACTCTTCTATCTGACTTTGTGCAAAAATACAAACATGAATTATTGTTTTAAAATATTGACACTATTCTAGAGGTTCGATTGGTGAACGGGTTAAATCAATATGAAGGGAGACTAGAAGTTTGGCATAATCGATCTTGGGGAACAGTATGCGATGATGAGTTTGATGCGCTGTCAGCAACCGTTGTTTGTAAGATGCTAAACTATCAATCGTAAGTAAAAAAAAATAATATCATCATGTCGTTGCATAGATATATTCACCACTATGAGAAGCAGTGTCACATGCAAAGTCCAGGTCTCAGATGTTATTGAAAAATGCTTGTTCGGAGCAAAACTTTTACATTCATCGGGTGATTTTAATGTAGCTTGGCACAAATGTTCAACATTTTGAGGCTAAGTATTATACGCAAATATTATACGCAACTAAGTAATCTGCCAAAAAATCCTGTGATGATCTTTCTAGGAGGATGGATACGTGACGTTATATAATTGATAGCAGAAACGTTTATAGTATTTATGATAAAGATTAGCTTTATATCTTTTCAAAGAAAAATGAATGGTAAATGAAAATGAGATTTTTTATCTATCTGATTTATTCATGCTGGTATTTCCATAGACAGTGAAAACATGACGAAGATCCATTCATGTGCAGTATTCGTTACTTATATAGATCTAACAGATGTGTCATGCTGTTGGCTAAAAGTCGCAGTCCGAATATAACGTTACATTTCCGCATTATATAACGAATGTTTTATTAATTTTATTAGTTGATAACTCTTGTATAAACGGCAGACCTTATGTATCGCGAATCCAAAACGGTAAAAGTTAATTATTAGATGGGAAAATCCTAATCTTTTTATTGTTTTAAAGCCTAACACTGTGACAGAATGCATACACGAGCTAATAACAGTCTTCTTCATTTGTATGTTATAGTTTGTATACGAGCTTTAGTATTATCGTGGGTTATTTCTTTTCAGATCGTATTTTTGAAAAAAATATTTTATTAGACTTATATAAATGCTGTTAAAAAAGTTAATAAAAGCGAAACTGCTTGGTTTTTGTCCGAGGGCAAAATATTTCTACATATTTATAAAATGAAGCTTTAATTTGTAATACTCTTCAAGCAGTAGTAAGTTTTGTCCAAGTACACCCCCTTCCCTTTAAAGAAAAACTTAAAGAAATTGGGGAAAAACACACAAAAAAGAAAATAGAAAAACAAGGAGAAAAATATCTGTTATAAAGGGACCCCACTGAGGATCTTTGAACTGATCAGCCCGGGAATATTTTCTCGAGATTTGAGTACCATTTGTTGAAGGTCTTAACAAATAACTTGTGTACAAGTTTTCAGATTATACCCTCTGTCTGTTTCCAAAGCTATCATATTATCATGGAGGTTCTACCGCACGCAGTCATAAATAAGACACTATTGCAATTTCCTTTTTGTCATTGTACCCTTGTATAATTAAATATATTATAAAAGTTTAATGTCTAAGATTGTGATCAAGTTCTTCATTCTACATTCTTTTATGGAATGTTTTGATTGTAATGATTGATTAATTTTTTTTATGTGAATTGCTTATATTATAGATCTGGTTATTTATATACATTCAATTATTGATTAAGTGCAAGAAGTACTCATTTATGAATAATTCCATAATTCTTTTTACGAGAGTTATTCATTTAAAATCGGACAATAGCGATCATGAACACAAAATGACGTTAACGGAACACTTCCCCTCACAAATTTCAAATTTCAAATGTCGCCATTTATAAATATTTCACATGTGATCAAGGTATACGAAGAGCACACCGATGATTATTGAAAACAGACTCGAGGACTAAGTAGTATGAATTTATTAAATGGATTGTCATGAATAGATTTTCATGGAAGATCTATCTTTCGACGAACAAAAAAAAAATCAAAATGAATCTAAACATTGCATTATAAAATCGGTAAATTAAATTTTAATCATTTCAAGTAACAATTTTAGCACTAACCCTTTGGTATTCGGGTCCGCATACTTTGGCGGTGGAACATTGCCGATACTTCTAGACGATGTTCAATGTACGGGAACTGAAACAAGTTTGTCTCAATGTCTGAAGGGGATCTGGGGAACTAATAATTGTGGACACCATGAAGATGTTGGCATATCGTGTACACCAGGTAACCTTATTAAAACTTTTTCTGAAATACTAAATTTATATACAGTACTATTGAGAGATAATGTAGATTAATAACAAAAACCGGTTATTGAAGGCAGGCTGGCTTCAACTTTTGGTTTCTGCCCCATAACTTGAGTTTATTTTGGCCTAATGACGCCAAACTTGGCGTGTGGATATTTAAAATATATCAAGAGGCAGCTTGGAATTGCTACCCAGGTGTCTTTGATCAATATTAAGGCCATTATTTTCTATTAATAGAAATTCAGTTTCCGCTCAATAACTTGAGTTTGCTTTGGCCTATTGACGCCAAACTTTGTACCTAGGTAGCTATATCAAGAGACAGCCTGGGTTTGGTGACTATTGCTAAAAATCGAAATTCAGTTTCCATGTAATTACTTCAGTATGCTGAGACCTATTGACACATAACTTGGTATGTGAGTAGCTTATATCAAGACGCTACTTAAGATTGCTACCCAAGATCAATGTTAGTGTTGCTTGAAATATAAATTCTGTTTCCGTTCAATAACTTAGGTTTGCTTTAGCCTATTGACGCTAAACAAGGTGTATCGGAAGCTTTTGCCAAAAGGTAGCTTAGATTGCTACCCAGATGTTTATTTATTAAGGTCAAGGTCATTGTTGATATAATAAGAAATTAAGTTGCCGTTCAATAACTTCAGTTTGAATTGACCTTTTGACACCTAACTTAGTATATGGGTGTGTGGGTAGCTTATATTTAGTCGCTACTCGGGATTACTACCCAGGTGACTATGATTATGGTCAAGGTCACTGTTGCTAAAATAACAATTCAGCTTCCACATGATAACTTAAGTTAGCTGTGAACTATTGTCAGCAAATTTTGTGTTTGGGTAGGTTATATCAAGATGTAACATGGGACCTAGCTTGATTGTAATAAGTGTCAATGTCACTGTGGCTAAAAGTAGAAATTCAGTCTCAACATAATGACTTGAGTTTGCTTAGACCAATTGACATCAATTTAAGTATGCGGGTAGCTTCTATCAAGACGCAACTTGGAATTGCTACCTAGGTGTCTGTAAATAAGGTTAAAGTCACTACAAATCAGTTTTCACGTAATAACTTGAGTTTGCTCTGACCTATTTACACTAACCTTGCTGTGCGGGATGCCGCTTGAGATTGATACTTGCATATCTGGGAGCATGCTTACAATAGAATTTTCCACTTCTACTCTATAACTTCGGTACATTTTGACCTATTGATACATAACTTGGCATGTGTGTAGCTTACATGTAATTGCTTTGGGGTAAATGTTTTTCTGAATAACCACATATTTTCACAACACTATAGATTGTAAAATGCTGTACATTCTCAAGTTTTGCATGTATTTATTGTGTTGCTTTCAAATAAATGCTTTGTAGTCATGTTCTTTTTGTATTTGTTATTGTTTGGTGCCCTTGTATATCATTCATTTGTTACAGAGCTCTTGCTGAATTAATCAATATCCAGTTATTGCAAAAGAATACAATATTCATAAAGGAGCAAAAAGCTAATATTTAAACTACTTTATTCAATTTATATATATATGTATTAATTCAGCAAATATGACTCATCTTTTATGGGTGGGCACTTGAAACAAAACCACCTTAATGAAACCACTTTTCCCAATCATTTCTTTATTGCGGTGTATCACTATTTCTTTTGTACTAAACCTATATGGATTTCTTCTAACCATACATAGATCACTATCTGCATGCAACCAAAATAAGAACATAATTTTGTCTTCTTGCCATATTTCATTCCTAGTTCCTGTTACATCAATACTTGGTCGTTGAAAACCTGATTTCGTTCCATTGCGGCGCTTCTTGTTAAAATCTTATAGAACGATGTATTATTTTACCATTTTACTTTTTGAGTACAGTTTTCCTGAAACTAGACTCTGTAATGATATTAAAAATAAAATATAGCCGTTAAAAAATAAGGTTATATGAGTCGTATAACGTATTATTTGTATCTTATTCACTTCATATGTCATCTATTAGAAGTACTGATACTTGTTATACTCATCATCATCATCATCATCATCATTATTACCATCATCATCATTACCATCATCATCATTACCATCATTATTGTCTGTTATGCGGTGTTACTGTTTTAAAAAATTGATGTGTTTCTTACAGCTCGATTAGTTAACGGGTTAGGTCAATACGAGGGGAGATTGGAAGTATGGCATAATGGGTCTTGGGGAACAGTATGTGATGATGGTTTTGATGCGCTGTCAGCAACGGTTGTTTGTAAGATGCTGCACTATTCACAGTAAGTAACAAGCTAAATGACGATATATTACTAGATATTTTGCTACAACAGGTTTAGATGCCTATGGAATTTCTTTTTGGTAGAGTTTCTTACTTGCAACAAAATATAGTTTTTGTACATTTTTCTGTTGATATGAACCTCAGACATCTAACATTGACAGCGAACGACAAGGGCTTTCAATATAGCTATTGTAAAAAATAGAGAGAAATAAAGAATCCCTAAATTACGCACAAAAAGACAAAATTGTAAATATTACAGGCTCGACGGTAATGAAAAGTGCAAGTTAAGTCTGAAGCCTACAAAAGAATTCTTAATTGAAATTTCAATTAGGTAGATGCCGTTATCCCTATACAATTATTAGAATCATCAGTGTACAAAAATTGCTATGCACATGCTACGCGTCAAAATACTAATGTACTCAAGCGAGGTAAACAAAGCGGTAAAAGCAAAAACCGGAAAATATCATTTACGCTACGAACAGTGGTTCATTCCTTTTTTAAATCCTTTAAATTGTATATATTGATCATTTATTTCTGAATAGGGTGTAACTATTCCATGTTTCGAAAAATAGGAACAGAACACAGTTTACAATACCAACGAGCACCATTACATGACCGAGTGAACCGTATGCTCTTTTAAATTCGGAACACCTCGTCGATTTTACGTAGTTAGAGGTTATCCGGAGACGGAAATAACCGATATGTTGCTATTGTTCGCATATGCTTTTCGACTAATTAAAGATTCTAACTTTCCGCCATTTGAACAACTAAACCAATTTTCTACAGCTTCAAAAATTCCTTTCGCAAACTTGTACTGACAGCTTTACTGCCAGTGTACAATTTTTTGTTTTGTTTTGACCCCGTTGATAAACCCACCAGGGCTGTCCCACTCACCAAATTGTTTCCAGTTTTGTGCGCCTACACAATGGGGAGATTTAAAGTTTACGTTGTCTCCGTCTGTCCGTGCGTTCGTTCTCATGTTTTGTCACAAGTAGCTCTCAAAAATTTCGACCTGGACTCATTAAACTTTACAGGATCAGTTGATCAGCATGTGTAGTTGTGCTTTTGGGGTTTGCTTATGGATTTTTTGTTTTATTATTCGTAGAGATATTGCCCTTGACTAGGTAAAGATTTTGCAGCTTTCAACTTGTGTCGCGCGTAGCCAAAAAATGTCAAGAAACTTTAAAAAAAATGTTGGTTCCTCATCGGGGGTTTGCTTGTGGATTTATTTTTTATTCTTAGAGTTATTGCCATTGACTGTGTGAATGTTTGCAGTTTTTAACTTGTGCTGCACGTTCCCCAAAAATATTTCACGTAAAGTCATAAATCCTTACAGACATGTTGGTCAGCATGTAAAAATGTGCACCAAGGGATTCACTTGTGGAGTAATTTCCATGACAAAATGTTGTGTCATGCGTACCTCTAAATAAGCTAGAATCAACAAAACTTACAAGAATGTTGATCAGCATGTGAAGCTGTGTAGCTAGGGTTTGGCGTGAAAACAATTCAGTTTTGCTACAGTTATTGCCCTCAAATTAGTTATTGCCCTCGAGGAGTGTCCCCCTCCATGTCCAGCCTTCATAGACTAATGGTTTATATTTATTTCCATTATATTATAATTTTATGGGTCGTGTGGGTGTTGCGTTCATTGAACGCCGCCTTTCCTTGTTGGTATTGTTTACCATATTTTAATATAAATTTGCAATTTACAAGTTGTGCAGTGCGTAGCCCAAAATATTTAACCTGAAATGATGAAACTTTATTGAAATGTTTGTCAGCATGTGTATTCAGTTAGGGTTTGTTTGTGGATTTATTCTATTAGCCTTGACTTAGTAAAGGATTTGCAATTTTGAACTAGTGTCTTGTGTTACTCAACAGCATTTGAGCTAGAGGCATTGAACTTTATCTGACTGTTGTCAGCATGTGTTGGTGTGCATCTTTGGTTGTCCTTGTCTTTATTTTCTTTTCAGCATACTTAAGGATATGAAATAAAGATTTGAAATTCTTGATATTGAGACAAAACAAGATGTCAACATTGGAAAAATTGGATGTTGTTTTAATGACTCAACAATTTTACGGGGGGGGGGGGGGTCATGTATAATTTACTTTGTCCCTCTTGTCCTACTGTGCGTCAGTAGACTGACAAAACTGTGGAGCATGAGGGCAGCCGTGTTCAATGGATACAT